AACCCGACCTGCGCCTTCCGGAGGTGAGGGCCTCTGTAAGAGGGCGGAGTCCTAGCACGCGGGTGGAGCCTCTGTGGGGCGGAGCCTGTGGGGGCGGGACGAGGTCCGGGCGGGACGAGCTTGCCCGCGTCTGCTGGCCCAGACGCCGCTTGTGCGGAGCTCTGTGGCTGCGGAAGCAGGTGAGAGACTTCTACCGGGAAGGGGATGACGGGAGGTGGCTTATGGCTCCGACCGCAGTCCGTGATCACCCGCTCGGGCCAGGCCCAGCGTGAGGCCTTGCGGGCGCCGGAGTGCCGTGAAGGCTCTCCTGAACCCAAGACTGACTGAGGGGTTGTGAGCCCTTCCAAACTTCTCCAACCACCTGACAACCCTCGGACTCCCAGGTGCGGAGGAGGCCTGGTCATCACTGCCAGATATCCTAACCCCCAACACTTGGCTGCTGTGGGAAAAGCTTCCCGACAGGATTGCTTCCTCAGCTTTGGAGTGTATTTACCGTAACTCATCCATCCCCTCCATCAGCAGAGGTCTAGGATAGGGGCCAAATCCCTCTTGCAGTGACTCAGGTCCACCATTCCTACTGGAAGGATGGGGTATGGGTGGATGGCCCTTAACCTCTCCCTTAACTGGTTCACACCACTCTGATGCGTACATCTTTTCCTCTCCACTTGACTTGTTACCCTACTCTGGTTTTTTGCCTCCCTCTTCATCGGTAAGACAAAGGGCTGAACCAGGGTCCCAAGGTAAGTGATCCATACTCAGCAAAGGCCATATAGATGGAGGTCTGGGGCCAGAGACTGATCAGGATCCAGAGAACTTAAAGGCACCTGGCAAGCCATAATGTAAAACCTGCTGTGTCCACTGCCATCTAGTTGCCCCAGTTCTAGCAGGTAATACTAGGGTGATAACTATCTAGTTGAGACATGGAAAGAGGCAGACCCCTCCTTTCACCCCAAGTTACTCCACCTTTAGAAATACTCAGGTTCCACTGTAAGTTTAAATTTCTAGTAGGTGGCTCACACTTTTATCCCAACATTTGGGTGAAATCAGAGACTGCTCTTTTCTTTTCCCAGCCACTCAGACCCAAATAATCACATAGAAACTATACTCTCTATATTCTCCCAGCCTGGCTATATTCTGCCCTGCCATAGGCCAAAGTAGTTTATTAATCAATGGTAATAAGACATATTCCTAGCATACATCATTTTGGGAGGCAGAGGCAGGTAGATCTTTGACTTCCAGCCCACTCTACATGGTGAATTAATTCCAAGCCAGCTGAGGCCCTTTCTCAACAACAAAAAGTCTCTGGTAGGGCTGAATGTGGTAACCTACTCCTTTTAATTCCAGCACTTAGAGACAGAGACAAGCAGATCTCTGTGTGTTTAAGGCCAGCCTTGTGTACATAGTGAATTGCAGGCCAACCAGGACTACATATAGAGACCCTGGAAGGGGAATGTATGCCAGAAGTCTCTGAGCAGAGGTTTTCGGATATAGAAGGAACTATGAGAGTTCAAATTCTGAATCTGGGGAGCTTTAACAAGAGGTTACCTTGTGAATATCTAACCCAGTACTACTGTAACTTCCTTGAGAAGTAGGGATGTGCTTCTCACAAAGACTCCGATCTCATTAGTATAGGAGGGTAGGTAGGACAGGACATGTAGCCACAACAATGGTTTACCCAACTCCATGTCAGTAGCAAACATAACCCACTGCAGACACTGGTTCAGTAAGTCACTTTGTCACCACTCTGTAGCTGGCAAATGGCATTCAGATTCCCCTATTCTGTTTTAGAACCTGGATCTGGTACAAGGCAATGTTCCCATCAGCACTCTTTTTTTCTTCATTTTTGAAGACAGGGTTTCTCTGTGTATTCCTGAGACTCGGTTGTAGTCTAGACTGGCCTCAAATTTACAGAGATCTGCCTGCCTCTGCCTCCTGAGTGCTGGGATTAAAGGTGTGCGCCACCATCTCCCATTGGCACATTTTGTTCTCTGACTAGTCTGCTTGTCTTCCCCAGGAAGCTATTTTTTTTTTATTTGATTTGCTTTGTTTGGAAACGGAGTATCAAGTCCTCCAAGCTGCCCTGGAACTGGCTATGTAACTGAAGGGTGATCTTGAACTGATTGTCTTGCCTCCACTTCCCAAGTGCTAGGATGACAGCAGTGAGCCACAATACCTAGCCCCTTTAGGAAGCAGTTTCGTTCATTCCTACAGTGCTATTAGGGCATCTTGATAGTGTGGAGTAGACTAGTGGTGGCAGGGGTAGAGATTGCTCTCCTAAAACCCTCAGTACTAGAATATCTCTTTTTAGAGATGTTTAGATGTTTAGAGAGGTCACCGTAGTAAGCAAGTCCAGAGAATTGGCAGACTGAGTGGGCTTTCCTATATGTGGGTGACCTCTCTTGAATGAGAAGCTTGAGGCAGCTGTACTGGAGGAAATGGTTGCAAGGATCAGTACTATCCCCAAACTAGAAGTAAAAGGTTCTCTGAGAGCCCCATGCTCCTGAGCTTGCAGTTTCTCCTCTCATATGCCATTTTTTTGCCCCTTCTCTTTTCAGAGGAAGCCGTGATATCAAAGAAGACCACACAGGACCAGGACCTTCCCATGGACCCTTCTCAGGATATTCCAATAGCACAAGCAATGGTGTTCCTCTAAGACAAAAGGAGCCACGATCCTTTGAGAAGAGCCATGGTGGTCAGGAGAAGCAGAGGTAGCTCCCAACAGTTGCCTAGCCTGGGACAGGGTGGTTGTACAAGTCTCCTAGGTATGCTCAGAGCTACCCTGCTGCTCATCAGCCTGCCATGGGGGGCCCAAGTGATGGCCAGTGCCAACCTCAGCACTGCTCTGGGCCACACTGTGCCACTGACCGGTGGTCACTATTTGAGCATTGGGGATGGCTCAGTGACAGAGTTTGAGTTCCCTGAAAAGAGTGAGGGTATCATTGTGATCTCTAGCCAATACTCGGGACAGGCTAATGGGACAGGAGTCAGCCCCACACTGAGGGTTATATCCCTGGACACAGAGGTACTAACCATCAAGAATGTGAGTGCCATAACCTGGGGCAGTGGGGGTGGCTTTGTGGTGAGCATCCACTCAGGTCTGGCTGGGCTGGCCCCACTCCACCTCCAGCTCATGGACTTCCATGAGGCCCCACCCTTGCTGATTGAAGAACGAAAAGATTTCTGCATCAGGGTGTCACCTGCTGAAGATATCCCTTCTACCCTCAACCCCAACTTGGGCCACTTCTCAGAGAACCCAATTCTGTACCTGCTCCTGCCTCTTATCTTTGTCAACAAGTGTTCATTTGGGTGTAAAGTGGAACTTGAAGTTTTGAAGGAGCTTCTACAGAGCCCCCAACCCATGCTGTTGGGTCTCTTGGGCCAGTTTCTGGTCATGCCCTTCTATGCTTTCCTGATGGCCAAAGTCTTCATGCTACCCAAGGCCTTGGCTCTGGGCCTCATCATTACCTGCTCATCACCTGGCGGTGGGGGGAGCTATCTTTTCAGTCTCCTCCTTGGAGGAGATGTCACCCTGGCCATCTCCATGACTTTCATCTCAACAGTAGCTGCCACGGGTTTCCTGCCACTCTCATCAGCTCTCTACAGCCGTCTTCTCAGCATCCATGAAACACTCCACGTGCCCATCTCCAAGATACTGGGGACTCTGCTGTTCATCGCCATCCCCATAGCAGCAGGTGTGGTGATCAAGTCTAAGCTCCCCAAGTTCTCAGAGCTGCTGCTACAGGTCATCAAGCCCTTCAGCTTTGTACTTCTCCTAGGTGGCCTGTTCCTGGCCTACCACATGGGGGTCTTCATCTTAGTGGGAGTCAGGTTACCCATTGTACTGGTGGGCTTCACAGTGCCTCTGGTTGGCCTCTTGGTGGGCTACAGCCTGGCCATGTGCCTGAAGCTGCCGGTGGCCCAGAGGCGGACAGTCAGCATTGAGGTAGGGGTGCAAAACAGCCTGCTAGCCTTAGCCATGCTGCAGCTGTCTCTGCGCCGCCTTCAAGCAGACTATGCTTCTCAGGCCCCCTTCATTGTGGCACTGAGTGGTACCTCCGAGATGCTGGCTTTGGTTATTGGCCAGTTCATCTACAGCAGCTTGTTTCCTGTTCCCTGAGGACCCTGGCTGAAGTTTTCTAACCCCAGTCCCCATACTCCATCCACTCTCCCCACAGTTCTTGTGTACCAAAGGCCTTTAAGTTCCCATGCACTATGCATTCATACAAATCCAGGCTTATTTTTTGTTACTTTTTTTTCAGCTTTCAGTGCCAAAGAGGCCAATGCTGAGTTAGAAATATATTTCAATAAAAGACAAAAGCAAGCTTGGGTCCATTACAGTCTTTGTCCCTTGGAGCCTATGAATGGGGATAGGAAGTGTGTCTGGGCTGGTATGGGCCAGAATGGTGAACAGGCTTGGTGATCCTGCAGAGCCTACTCTCTCCTGGCTCCCTGTTTTGCACATGGTAGACAAGTGTTATACCTTTGAGCTGTATCCCCAGACCTACAAAAGCTTTTCTCTATCAGCTCTCCCCAACGGGGCAGACCTCTCTGTTCTATAATGAGTGAGGAGATAAAAGGCCTGGGTTCAATACTTCAGGGCCTCAGTCAGGATATTTTTACAGCCAGACTAAAAAGGAAGAAGTAGAAAGCCTCGGGCTATGGCAGGTAGGACTGGATCATTTCTGTATCTGAGAGACATCACTAGTCTGCACTGATTTGGTCCACCAGCAGCGTAGGAATTAGCGCAGGTCAGGCCTTGCCAGAAGCTGATATCCTGGTCCTTCTACTTACAGCTTCCAAGTGAAGCAAGCCTGACCCCGCAGGTTCCTCGCTTCGGTCCTAGGGGGCGGGATACCCCCACTTCCCCGCACCAAAGCCACTGAAGGCTTGTAGGCCGAGGTGGGGGGCAGGGAGGCAGACTCTACCCCAGGCTCTGGCAGGCGCGAAGGCCCGGAGGCGGGACTGAAGAACATGGGCGGGAGCCACGCGGCGGGCGCGCCCCTTTCACGGCTTCCGGCGGGCGGTTCCTGCGCGCGCCCGGGGCAGCGGTGCGCGCACGGCAGGGAACCGTTGGGGTTTGCATTGGCCCTAGTGGACGCGGCTGTGGACACCATGCAGCTGACCGTGAAGGCGCTCCAGGGCCGGGAGTGCAGCCTACAGGTAAGGTCACCCCTGCAGGCTGCTGCACTCACATACTCTTGCCGCTGGGGGCCAATGGCGGGCGGGGGAGGTCGGGAGAGCTGACCCCAGAAGGGGGCACAAGGGCTTCGTCACCCAGGGAATTCGGGCTAAACCCTTGCCTCTCCACCTCGGCCCGGTCAGGTGCCGGAGGACGAGCTAGTGTCTACACTGAAGCACCTGGTCTCGGATAAGCTGAACGTCCCTGTGCGCCAGCAACGTCTGCTGTTCAAGGGCAAGGCCCTAGCAGGTAACTAGGGAAAGAAACCATCCAGGGACCGCCGCAGGAAGTTGGAAACAGGGGGGACGGGATGTACAAGCCAGTGTAATGAATTAGGGCACTGGCTGCCATTGGACCTCAGAAAAGTAATTGAGCCACCACCACCCCACCACCCCATAGCCAGATGCTGCAGTGCTTCACTCTGGCTGGCTGTGACAAGATTGCTCTCTGGCCACCCCCACAGCAGTGAGGAAGGAACCCCACCAATCTCTCTTTGGCAGATGAGAAACGACTGTCAGATTACAACATCGGGCCCAATTCTAAGCTCAACCTAGTCGTTAAACCTTTGGAGAAGGTGCTACTAGAAGAAGGGTCTGCCCACAGACTGGTCGACTCCCCACCCCTACCCCTCTGGCAGCTGATCTCCAAAGTCCTGGCCCGTCACTTCAGTGTAGCAGATGCCAGCAGGGTCCTGGAACAACTACAGAGGGTGAGGAGAGTAATGCTGGACCTCCAATCTTAATGCTTCTAGCCCCAGCCCCTCCTGTTCTAGCATACTCCTTGCAACTGGCACTCCCTGAACCCACCTGCTCTTCTCTCCTCAGGATTATGACAGGTCCCTGAGCCGCCTAACACTGGATGACATCGAACGTTTGGCCAGCCGCTTTCTACACCCTGAAGTAACTGAGGCTATGGAAAAAGGGTTCTCCAAATAGCATTCTGGGATTGGGGGGAGAAATTCTAGGTCAGGCCACAGCTGCATGTTGCATTAAATGTGTTCTCATGTCGCAGTTTGGCTCATAGTGATAATAATAGCTGGTATGTACCCAGCTCTTGCTAGGTGCTAGGCACTACTCAAAGTACTTGGCCTGAATTCTCTTCTGCCTCCCACAGGACAGTTGAGGTTGCACTGTAGAGACACCTAGCAATGGCTTGGGACAGCCAGAGTCCAAGTCTAGCCAGTCTTAGAAGTGCCTCTGTAGGAGAAAGAGTGTGCTGTTTTGAGGGATGGGCCTTACCATTCCCATTTAGCCCACTCAGCATACACCCTCAACTCCCTCAGGAAGCCGCTAGTCCCTGTCATTTGCCCTCTAGTGTATCTGGCATAGCCCTTGGCAAATCTCCATAGGAAGCCAAGTGGTAGCCATCCAGGGCCCCTCTGCAGCAGCAGCCAGTGTGCTCTTGATGTATGACACAGGGGCTGGAGGATCAGAAAGATACCCCAGCTCCAATGTATGACTTGAGTCAAGTTTCCATGCCACTTTGGTCCCCAACCATTGAATCTGTTCAATGATGGCCACTCATCTGACCTGAATAAGTTTCCTTCCCCTTTTGCCAGCTCATGGTGGGAGTCTCTGCTCTCATCACCTGCAGTTCCACCTTGTGTTCAGTAAGCAAACTGAAGCCAAGCATGGGCCACAGATGGAGTATCCTGGGCCTCCGTGACATAGCTCTTCTTGGGGCCACCCTATCTGCTTGGCTCCTCCTGGAAGTGGGTCTCATCCATGAGGGACAGCAGGTGACTCAGCAAGGCATTGTCACAACTAGGACTCTGCCTTGGTCTCCTCACCCAGCGCTCACTCACAACATGAGACGGATGCTTCCTCTGCCACCTGTGTACAGGGGCTTTTACTTTGCACACCTTCATTGCTTAAGAAGAAACTCAGGGTGCTGAGGAGGAAATAGAAAAGCTGAAGACAGTGATTCTTCTTTTCAGTGTACCTATGCTTGGGTGCTAAAGGTCATGTAAGTACTAGCTCCTTTGAGGAGGACCCCCTGGGAGCAGTTGAGGCTGGAAGATAGCCACCTTCAGGACACGACTCCTGCCCCTCCACTCTTGCCAAGGAAGCCACTCTGAATGTTGTCGGGGCTACACTTGCCTTTCTTGCCCAAGGGCCTCCTGGGACAAATCTTGAGTCCCCATAATGGAATGATAAACTAAAGTGAGGCCTGAGGGGATGAGCAGCTGACAGATCCTGGTCCTCCCTAAGACTTGGGATATCACACCAGGGACCTGCTTGTGAGCACATGTATGGACTGGCAGCTCAGATAATAAGCTTACCAATGTCCTTGTTCACTTTGAGTCAGGGAACGTGTTTGGAAAATTAAATAACACTAAAGGTGAGACTTTTCACCAAAATGAACTCTATTAATAAACTAGGCTGCTTTTGGTTTCCAATAATTGATTTAACAACACAGGAAACATGTTGGCTTATAAAACTGAAAAAGCCCAGGAGTGCTGGCAGTGGATGAACAATTTCACCAGCTTTTTTCCTGCCTCTCTCTGAATTCTCCAGGATCTACTTCATCCTTACCACTATTTCCAAGGATCAAAGGGTGGCTGCCTGCAGCTTCATCGAAACCCTTCATTCTCTGCCAGTGAGGAGCACTTTCTCTCTGTAGCATAGCTTCTGTCTCAGATGCCCCAGCAAATAAATGCTGTCTCTTATTGGTCAGAACTGAATCCTGTGTAATTACTTGGGCTGGGCATATGGGAAAAGGAGCTGTTGATTATCTGTTAACAGCTACTCAGCCGGTCTTGGTCTACTTTTCTGGGCACATGTGAGTTGTACCAGCTGTCCCTCATTCTGGTGGATGCAGATGGCAACTGTCCACTACAGGAAATAACTAAACCAGAAAGAGCTTGACTCCCTTGGAGATAGTAAAGGAGGAAGGGATGAGGACTCAAGACAAGGAGTGTTTTCTGAGACTTGCATCCAAAGACTCTTCAAGTTTCTAAAGGTAGAAACAAACCATGGACGTGTTCATGAGTCTCTTGAGCCAGTGTTCCTCAATTCAGAGCACCGGAAGTCTTTAAAATGGTCACCTTAGCCAGAGATGAGACAGTGAGACAGTGGTGTTTAGAAGAGTACAATTGGCAGGTTTTTCTGTGTAGCTACCTATAGAGCAAGAAAATATAGGTTCATCGGGAATCAGGCTATGCCTGAAACAGAAAATTCACAAGTGTAGGAAGGGGTTCAATTGACAACTGATTGCCTTGGAAGGCTGGGATGGCTATATGTGGGAAGTCAGGGACAGGAGATAAGATTGGACATAGAGATAAGTGAAGAGCCCTAGGGGCCCTATAATGAAAAAGCTGATCCAGAAAAGTAGGAAGACTCCTTTCGATAGTCAACTATTGTATTTCTATGCAGAGCACTTCCTGTTTCATTCTCTTCTGACTGCCAAATGTAGGAAGTAGATGAGCAATAACTTGAACCCAGGTCTAGCTTTATTCTTTGGGCTCATGTAAGCATACTGCTATAGCCAGGAATTTTCTTTACACGGAGAATCTTAAGATACTGGAAGGATGACTGAGGTGGCTGACCTGAGAAAGGAGCTAAGGAAGAAAGGAGAGGTCTCAAATTCAAGGAGCCAGCTTCACTAACCAGAGGAGTTTAGAAGGGAGCCCGAAGTAAAGGTATTGATTGACAGGAAGTGGTCACAAGTGCAAGTCAAGGGCAGGCCTCCAGAAGAGAGAGACCATCGGTGCTGCCACTACAGGGACAAGATGGAGCCTCTCTCTGGAATTCTTAATATGTAGGTTATTGCCACTGTATGACAGGCCAAGGAGTCCTCAGGAACCTCTCATTCCACAAGATGTGTGTACAAAGGAATGGAGACAAATAGGTAATGTTTGTTAGGTCTCAAATCCAGAACAAATGGCTGAGATGCCTACTGAACATATCAAAGCAGACACAGCCACCAGGTTCTCCCATATCTCTCAGTCCCTACCTATTCCAGGATCCTCCTGGCTGGCATTCCCCATTCCCTATGCTCAACATCTCCAGCCCAGGAGGCTGGGCTGCTCTTCTATAAATAATCCAACCATTTTGGTTGCCTGACCTTTTTGTCTGGCCCTTACCTTCCTGGCTTCTTGGTCCCTTTCCACTCCACACTATCCTCACATGGGTCAGGGTCATGTCCACTCTGGACTCCCCCGGATGTTCCTGCCTCTGGCTATGCTCTCCCACATGTCTGCAATACACTTTCTCCTCCACCGCACCTAGGAGCAGTCATGTTCATTTCCTTTCCTTTTCCTTTTATTTCTTTTTTCATTCAGTGTTAAGCCTTGGGGAGTTCTGTCAGGGCAAGGATGTCAGATAAGAGGAGGGAAGACAAGAGATGACAAATGCTGCTTGAATAGGCAATAGGAAGGGGGCCATAAGAGGAGGCTGGGAACTTGGCGAAAATAGAGTGACTGCAGGATGCAGACCTTCTCTTTGCCCTGAATTTGATATGGCCCTCCATGTACCAGCAGACTCTAAATTCTTGGGGCCCTCATCAGGGATTAAAACATTAGCCATAGGCTCTGTGCCCTGCTGAGCCGCACACGTACACCCAAGTGGCAATAATCCGCTCCCTGCTCCCTGCTCAATACAAGTTCCTGAGAATCCTTCCTGACTCTCAGATTGGGGCCCTGGTCCTAGGTATGAGATGTGATCACTATCACACCAGAGATAGCAGCAGAAATGAAGGTCCCGGCTCAGATGGTCTCCCAAAGACAGAAATGTTCAGAGAGCTGGGATGAGATATTTGGTGGGCCAGCAGGAGTGGCAGACCCAGGAGCTCAGCTTTTATGGTGAGCCTCATTGAATTGGATATTCACAGGGGATAGATTAATTAATGAGACAGTTTTTGGTGTGAACTTGTGATTTCTTTCATGTCTATATGAACATGGCAAAGTAACACAAGAAGAGCTGCCAAACAATCACATTTTATATTTTTTTATTTTATTTTTTTTTTTGCTGTTTCCTTTTTTTTTTTTGAGTGTGTGTTTCTGGTTTTTTTTAAATTTATTTATTTATTAAAGATTTCTGTCTCTTCCCCGCCACCGCCTCCCATTTCCCTCCCCCTCCCCCAATCAAGTCCGCCTCCCTCCTCAGCCCAAAGAGCAATCAGGGTTCCCTGCCCTGTGGGAAGTCCAAGGACCACCCACCTCCATCCAGGTCTAGTAAGGTGAGCATCCAAACTGCCTAGGCTCCCACAAAGCCAGTACGTGCAGTGGGATCAAAAACCCACTGCCATTGATCTTGAGTTCTCAGTAGTCCTCATTGTCTGCTATGTTCAGCGAGTCCAGTTTTATCCCACGCTTTTTCAGACCCAGGCCAGCTGGCCTTGGTGAGTTCCCGATAGAACATCCCCATTCTCTCAGTGTGTGGGTGCACCCCTCGTGGTCCCGAGTTCCTTGCTCGTGCTCTCTCTCCTTCTGCTCCTGATTTGGACCTTGAGATTTCTGTCCGGTGCTCCAATGTGGGTCTCTGTCTCTGTCTCCTTTCATTGCCTGATGAAGGTTAATATTCAGGAGGATGCCTATATGTTTGTCTTTGGGCTCTCCTTATTTAGCTTCTCTAGGATCAATAATTATAGGCTCAATGTCCTTTGTTTATGGCTAAAAACCAAATATGTGTGAGTACATCCCATGTTCCTCTTTTTGGGTCTGGCTTACCTCACTCAGGATAGTGTTTTCTATTTCCATCCATTTGCATGCAAAATTCAAGAAGTCTTTGTTTTTTACTGCTGAGTAGTACTCTAATATGTATATATTCCATACTTTCTTCATCTATTCTTCCATTGAAGGGCATCTAGGTTGTTACCAGGTTCTGGCTATTACAAACAATGCTGCTATGAACATAGTAGAGCATATACTTTTGTTGTATGATAAGGCCTCTCTTGGGTATATTCCCAAGAGTGGTATTGCTGGGTCCAGGGGTAGGTTGATCCCGAATTTCCTAAGAAACCGCCACACTGCTTTCCAAAGTGGTTGCACAAGTTTGCATTCCCACCAGCA